ATTGTTGTTGTTGTTGCACTTGATGTTACCGCCAGCGTTTAACAAAAGACAAACAGTCTAAGAGTAACGCAACTGAGGTCCGACCACAGGCAGAGGCCATTGCCATGCACAACACACACACACACACACACACACAACCACATATAAGAGCACGTACATGTAAAGCAGTGATATTGGCATGGCATGTGTTCCGCTTTACACTTGCTACTCTGCGTCTGCCATTGTTTAATCGGTTGTACTCAGTGTGCTTATGGATATGATATGGATGTGTCACTCTGTGGAACAACACAAGAATCACTGTTTATATCAAGCTGAGCAAATGAGACGTACTACACAGATAATTAAACAAAAATACAACTTGTCCTTGGTAAAACGTCTCAAAATGCAAGGTTTCCAATGATACTACTATGTAGAGAGGTTTGCCTCTGTCTATCTTAATCGATAAAATTAAAAAATTTAATTAATGTTGCTGTTATATTACCTTACGAAAATGGTTTCATATTAATAGCATCACATAGCCTTAACGCCTTAACTTACACTTTATTTAGTAAAATTACGGGTTAATTATATTTTTAATATATCAAAGGTCGGACTATTCAATAGTTTTGCTCTATATACGGTTTTTGTGGATTTTATTCAAGTTGTTCAGTCAATAAACAGGGTATGATAGCAACGATCAAAAACACATTTTCCTCAAATCCTTTTACTCAATTTGCATGCTGAAGGTTTCTCAAGTTGAATATGTTTGTAAATTGAAAACGAATTTGTTGAAAACAAGTGATTTGTATATATAAATGTAGAAATTTGTCGATGCTGCTAAATCAGTATCTAAAGATACTCTTTTATAAATATACATTGAACAGAAAATGATTCATGCATTTTTTTTTGTTAAGTGCGTGGGCTGCTGGACACAGCGAATGAATATGGGCTGCCAAAAGCAACTGCGAAATAAGTAAAGGTAAAAAGAGCGATAAAATTATAATTGCTCAATGTACTTAATAACAATTAAGATGAACAGATACTTGCATATGGTAGCCTTGTCTGCACTGACGGCAATGAAAAATGTCCATTGTAAAACGATTAAATACACAATATAGATGAAGACTTAAGTGATTTCTACACTCGAGTGTGAAAATCCTGCTGTCTCTCTTTCTCTCCCTCTCCCTCGCCCTCTCTCTCTTTCTCTCTCTCTCTCTGTGAAAGTCGACAAGGAATGAAATTCTTTTCTGTTTCTTGTTCTTTTTTTTTGTTGTGCTTATGGTTGTTGTTGTTTTGCACGTTATATTTATAAAACTCACCTCAGAACGGCTGATCATCAAAGATATTGCTACTGGCGATATAGTGAGAGCCGACGAGGCTAAATTCATTTTCATTTGTAGCACGTTCGCGAGTGGACGTGTCGTAGTACCCAGTTTCGATATATAGCGCAAATATATACATATACAATATATGTATATATATATATATATATACATATATTTATATAAATATTTGGTCAATTTAGATCTTACACCTGACCGCGCTCCGCGTAGTGCGTGCAACTCGACGCAGGACGTGTGTGTGAAAAGTGTCAGTTAGTAATTGCAGTGCAACTTACTGGAGTACGCAACGTGCCGCCAAGGCATGCGAATAAGTGTGCCCAATTTATCAAAATTCAAATTATCAAATTGCAGTGCGGCCCACAAGTGAGTGTCGTAAACGAGTTTACGAGCAATCCAAATACTTCAAAATGCTGCGTTCAATGCGCTCTGATTATGTAAAATATATATTGAAGAAAATGGCGAAAATGGCTACAAGCTAAAAAGCTGAAATTGTCACCTGGCTGGGTGGACAGCGAATTGGCGTTGACAGCTACCCACAGGCTCCCCGCTCCTCCTTACTTGCCCCATTGGTCGCCCACCTCGTAAAGAGCTGTCAAAATTATTTTCATATCAACGCTTTCGCTCGTTTTTATTAACGCACTTTAACATAATCACATCACACTACAAACATCTATATAAGTTGTATTTTATTTTTATTTATTTCTTATTTGAGTGTGTATTTTAGTTAGGTGGATTGCTCAGACGCTTAGCTTGCCGCGTTTTATTTTTAGGTCTATTCAATCAGCGACATTTTTACTCAATTTTCGGTGTTTTTCTTTTCATTTTCATTTTGCCTTCTCCGAGCTTTTTTTTATAATTCTATTTAATGTTTGCCTTTCGCTCGGTGTTTTCGTGAGCGTTTATTAGTTTTACTTTTGCGTTTTGCTTTTGTTGCCAATTTCGCGCTACGAAAATTCTTTTGTTTCTCTCCTCGCACATTTTGATGGCTCTTTATTTGTACATGTATTGTTCTCTTTTCTGTTTCCAACCTTTTTTTTTTTTTGGTTCACACCTGATTGTTTATGTTTGCTTTTGATTTTATTTTTAATTTTATTTGCAATTTCTGTTCATTGTTTGCGCGAACTGCTAAAAAAAATTCGATTAAATGCCCGTTAGGCGGCAGCCCGCCACAGTGTATGTAAAGCACTTTCTCAATATTTGGTTCGTTAGGCTGCCGCCCAAAAGTATGCAACAGCATATATTCATTCGATTTATGTGTACTACATGGCTGAATGGCGTAGTTCCCTTCTGCCACACGGCGTATGCGCATTATATTTGAAGTTCACGGTCACACTCAGGGTAGCACTTGAATTTTATCTCCAATTGTGTTCCCTTTCATCTTGTCCATTTGCCAATGTTAATCTTGCATCAAATTTAAATTTATATCAATTCAAATTAAATACTAAATTCTGTACAATAAATTTTGAGCTCAACGGCTGTAAATTCCACTCAAGTTAAACAATTTTTGGTAACTGAAACTATTTCAACATAAATTATCATCATTGAATATTTATTATTTGCAATTAGCTGCAAAATCAGTTGCGCATATCTGGAATATTGACTTAAACATAGATATGGTTGTCCTTTCGAATAATTACACAAGTGTATTCTTCTAGCTGTCTGAATTACAGCTGTGGCTTATTAAAAATGCAAGTAATATTTAACTGCCGCTTGTAAATGCAAGTGATAGTAAGTGCAACGTTGCAGGTGCATTTGCCGCTGCAGTTCGCTTATTAAGCTCGACAATGTGTAATCAGGCCGAAATACGCATATTGCTTATCAGAAGGTTTGCAGCATGTGGCATGAAATGCCTTAAGTATTGTTAATGTGCCTTTCGCTACTCAGTTGCATAACTGCAACATTATTCTGCTGGGGTTCTTTTGTTGTAATGAAATGAAATACATAATGATAATGAGTAGGTGAACAATACTGTACCAAAAGTCTGATGGTGCTGCGTTGGCGTGGATGGCTGGGGGCTAGCCTTTGGCTTCCTCGTACGCAACTAGTTGATTGGCAGCCAAAACCCTAAATGATTAATCATGCAATTTGGCATGCAACATTGCGCTGAATACTTATCTTTCTTTTACATTTGCAGCCATCGCAGTTAACAGCAACGCAGCAGGGCCCCAAGGGGCGCCTCGGATACGCAACAGGAACAAGAAGTCAGGAAGTACCCCAAAAAGAATAAGAATAAGAAGAAAATGTAAGTAGAGGAGCATTTTCGTGATAAGTATCCTTTAAATTTGAGCGAAAAATTCTTGAAATTTTATTTCTGCATGATTTGGTTGTATTTACCAGCAGGCTTCAACAAATTAAAAAAAATCGCTTCTTAAAGACAATTCTGAGAAATAAATCAAGAGCAAAATTAAACTTTGTTGTCATTACAAGACTGCTGGAAGCTTTTAAAGCTTTAACTGTAACGGAATATAAAGTTTTTGGTTTCACTTTAGTTTGTCATTGCTAGAAAGTTAAATCGCTCTGGGAAGTTTCGGTTGCGTGTTGCATCTTGTGTCTGGCTTTTATTTATAGCCTTCGTACTTGCAGTTCTATCTTTAGGAGTCTGCACTCTTTCGCTAAATTCCGGGCAAAGGCATTACTTATTTTTAGCGCCTGTCGCCCGTTTCGAGGGTCTCAAACATGGATACGACCTTGAGCCGAGCTGTCTGAGTGCTGACTATTGAGCGCGTATGTAGCTCTATCCCAGTTGGCTTTGTTCGAGCAACAGCAACAAATGCGCCACATGACAGGCCGGCAGCTAATGGACCCCATGCATTCCAGTAATTGCCTTTGTTCGCGTGGCTTAATAAATAAAATCATTTACACGAAGATTTAATGAAAATGTCAGTCACAGCGCCAAGCAATTGGGACACTCTCGACGAGGTCAATTCGGATGCAACAGATTGAGAGTTGCAAGTGAAATTTTAGACGAAGTTTCTATGTATATAGAAGATTTTACAACTAGGGCGTAATTCAAATAGCTGAATGCGCGTTCCAGTTTTCAATGGAATTTATTTTTAGAGTTATTGCGCCCAAACACACACACACACACACAATCTAGAGACTTTAGATGCTAACGGAAAATGCCGGCAGCTTTATTAATAGTCCGTCATTTGATGACGTCAACGGAAGGTCTCTCTCTTCATGGGTCTCCCACTCTTTATCTCGCTCTCCTTAGTGTGTGTGTATGTGTGTGTGTGCAAGCAAATTATTTGGGTGCTGTGAGCAGCAATTAGCATTGCTTTCTTGTGGTCTGAAGTCAAAACAAATAATGTGAAAACTTCAGTTCAATTCACACACGTGCAACAAATGTAACTCATTAATGAGCTGCTGTGCACAGCTATAGATACAATGCATAGATACAAAACTAAATCATACACTCGCACACTCACATGCAGACATCAGTTGATGCCAAGAATATCTTTTTGCGTTCGTATTTCGATCGCGCGTTTGTTTGTTTGTATCTCAACGTCGCTTCTCTCTCTATGCATATATATGTATATATAGATACACACGCATACACACACACACACACCGTGTTGATTTGTATATATTTAAAATATTATACAGTGTTCTTGTTTTTTTTTCACTTTTCGCTTTTATGCCATTGCTTCATGTGCTTGGCAATTTTCACTTGCCTTCAGTCGGTTCCTACATTTCCAATCGAATTCTACGAGGCGCGTTGCAAAAATCTTGCAGCGCTTTAATTTAAATACAAATTTAAAATTATAGTAATACCAAAAATTCGATCAAATATTAAAAATAGTACCTACTACATGTACATATGTATACATGCAACAAAATAAAAAGAAGAAACAGTAGTTAAGTGTATAAAACAAAATATCTTTAACAAAATTAACGCAAAGCGGAACATTGAATTAAATTAACGAACGTGCATCAAACGTTAACGTTTCCGACAAGTCGAGTTCAAACCAATTGCATTTTATGATTGCCCTGAGTGCCACTTTAACACAGCAGCAACAGCAGCAGCGGCAACGACAACAACACCAGCGGCAACTACGTGAAACAGTTTCCGTTATCTATTGGTGAGTGTTTCTTGTTTGTTTCGTTTTTTTGGTTTTTTTGGTTTTTGGGTCTGAGGTTTTGCATTTCCCTGGCTCTGCCAAATTTATGACCCAAATTTGTTGTTGCATTTCAGATTCAGTTTCGTAATTGTATTTGTATTTGTTTTCAATCTTTTTGTGCGCGGTTTAGTTTTTTTTCGCATTGTGACAGCCAATCACTTCACATATATCCACTATCCGTCGATTTTTGTCACTTTGACAGCTGGCCAAAAGCTTTGACCTATTTTCAAATTGACGTATTGCTTAAATTGCCAAATTGAAAATGCATTGAAGTATCTACAACTGAAGCTGGCACTCGTCCAGGGTCATTAGATGGCTGCAAGTCTTTGAACTCATTTCTAATGACTCAAAATGTACGCATTTCCGTTTCCGCTTGCCATTGTCGCCTGTCACATAATTGGCTAATTTTAATTATCAAGGTTAATGCTTTTTCTATAGAAACGCGTATCTAGTATAAGTATATATATTGTCTGTTAAGAAACACAAGACATTGAGCAACTGTCCCCATCACTCTTGGCATGCGGATAAACATAAAGAAGGCTGTAAAATAAATGATAAGCATTATTGTTGGATCCAAGACCAGCTGAGCGCTACAATCCATTGGTTGTGGATCAGAAATCGAAATATGTTTATTATTTTAAATATACTTGATACCAGAAAAATAATTATGAAATGTGCAGAATGAACGTTTTGTTCGAAAGCACATCGGCTTAATCTTCACCATCTGTATAGCATTAAGAAAAATGATGTTGGTCATCTGTACACATTAAAGATTTTATAGATGTTTTGGCTTAAAAGATTTCAATTGAATTCCATTTGAAACTTTCGAATCATTTAATTTTTATTGAGCTGCGCTTTCTTCGCATATGTTTTTAATGCATTTGCTTGTGGAATTGCAGAAATTAAATAACTGACCATTGCGCTCGAGGACTTACATACATTCTGAAAATTTTATCCCTTCGCAACGATGCATTGCGCTGCTGCGCACAAAATTCGCCATTCAAATTGAGAACTAAAATGGCAGCCATGGAATCGCCACAGAACTCTTGCTACCATTCAAATGATGAAGAGCAGGGTTATTACGGAGCAGGGGCACTGTGAAGCAGTTCCTATTATGCCAGTGCATGCCTTTCATTTTAATTCTTTTTAGCGCCAATTTCGAGATGCACTTGCAAAATTAGTTTCGGCGCACACATGTGGCTCAGGATCCACTCCGCCGCACCCGACCACGACCCTTCTTTATATCACGCACAATTTGAGCGGGCGACAAAATTTCTATACAATTTGATTTTAAGCGTATTTTCCAGTTAATTGAACTCCATTCGTATAAGCTTTTGCGCAACTGAAAAATGCCCGATAGCCAAACGCGGGACGGGGCGATGTGTCGCAGTTGCCGGGGTGTGGATTGGAGCTTGATGCACATAATATGAACTTTTGGCCGCATTATGGCAAACGCTTTAAATATTCCGCACAATAATTGTCAACAAGCGGACGACAATTTGTGGTGCACCTCGATGTTTATTTATTAGTGCAGGAAGTGCTTGCACTGCCCCTCCCACCGTCATCCTCTCTTACAATGCGGAGTGACGGAAGGCATGAGAGCGCCTTACTTGCTGTAGTGCTGACGTGGCGTATACGCAATATACGAGAATGCAGCACGAAATTGCATTTATTTATATAGTAGTATCGCATAGAGCGCAAATATTTTCGTGGGTTTCATGGGAAATCTGTGTCATTTTTATTATTAAAAGCTGCTCATTTTTCGCTTATTTTTGGCCAGAAATGAGAATTTCAATGAGCATGCGTCAAACTGCTAAACAAAAGTTAGAAGTTTTAGATTTTTCTCTTTTTTACATAGTTCAAGTGCAACTTGACACTTGAATGTCAAATTTAATATTATAAATATTATAAGAATGTTTTCAATGCATGCTTTAAGCATGATTAATATGATATCTCCCCCTCAGATTTCTTAGCTCTGCATATAGCTTAATAGTAATAATTCAATATTATTTTTTAAATATTTCACTAGCTGATAGTTGCTTTCCTTGGGGAGTTTTAAGTTGCAATAACCCTTGTTTTTATAATAATCTCAACTTTGTGGTGAACTAAAGTATCGACACAATTCAATATTTTGAATATTTCACTAGATGATAATTAGATTTCATGTAAATAATAACCTCAACTTTGTGGCCAGATATCGACAGCAGCTGAGACGATATTGTGGTCACATCAATTGGCAGTTTGCGTGTACTCATGAGTACTCATTTGGCTAGCATTCGAGAGTGCTTATAATTAAGCTGAGTTATTGTGCAGCATACAACTGAAACTGACTTTATCTGTCAGCTGGGTCTATTTAAATTTTGTCGGATCATTTTTCTTTTTTTCTTCTGCTGTTGTTGTTGTTGTGTGAGAGCCGTATTGAGTTCTTTTAAATAAACCGCTTTTAATGAAGCCCAGCTATAAGCAGATTTGTGGCTTAGAATATTTGCGAAGGCCAAATGAAGCCAAGGGCGACTACTGAGGGGCAAAAGAGCCCACGATTTACGACAATGGCAGCAGAAATGGTCATCCTACGGTAGATGGCGGGTATGCTCCTGAATTTGGGGTGCCTGCTCATTGCTGCTGCTTATTTAAATGTGAGGAGGACTCGAAATGTGGCAATCCGATTTGGGGGACGACTTATGATGAGCTTAGCGGCAGGAGGTATACGTGAATTTATAATGATATGAATATCAAATTGACAGGACTTTGTCTCTGCAGCCCTCTAATCAAATCAAGTCTAATGATATCTGATTGCGTTTTCTCCCCCCTTGTCTATATGTTACAGTGAGCCATGGAACAATTCGAACAGTTGTTGACGTGCTGCGTATGCCTGGACAGGTATCGCATACCGAAACTGCTGCCATGCCAGCACTCCTTCTGTATGGAGCCATGCATGGAGGGATTGGTCGACTATGTGCGACGTCAGGTAAGATTATTTGTCATCTGTACACAGAAGCCCATAAATCATAATCACAGCCAAATGCATAAGCCAACTGGTGCGTGTGTGTGTGTTTGTGTGCGTGTGCGTGTGTCTGAAGCAATTTTGTTAAATGCGGCGTATTTATTCAGTAACTACGTCACATGCCAAAATCTGCTTAATAAATCGCTCGACAAAAGCCCCAAAAATCGCATGTAGGCAAATGAAAGCAGCGTTTGCCTTGTCCAAAGGCAACTCAACATTGTGGAAATGAGTTGAGTTTTCTTTTTGTTTTTCATCAACGTGATTATATACATACATAAATATATATATATATATATATATATATATATATATATATATATATATAAATATATATATATCCTCTTGTTGCTTGCGTCGCATTTGCGTTGATTTTTGTTGTTATTATTTTTTTGCGTTGGCTGCTGCTGAAAAATTATAAAATTTACATATAAAGCAAGCATACTTATCTATATATACGTATACATGTATATGTATATACAATGAATATGTTTCTACTGCGCTACTTATAGACGCAATCTGTGTATGTGTGTGTGTGTGTGTATTTATAAATTCATTTTGGCTTTGCGCCAGCGCCACGCAAACAATTGGTAAGCATTTTTCATTCCTTGCCAAATACTACTGGCCAAATAGGCGTACTGCGAAAGTTGGTTAAACATCAACCAATAACTGTCCAATGCTGGATAAGCCCAAGAGATTTGCCTACACTTTTGGACCAAGCCATAAAAAACTGAGACAGAGAATAATCAGCCCAAAAACTCACTCAAGATGCCTGCACTGAAAGTTCTATAAACTGTGAAGGTTTTTAAAGCGTGTTACAAAAATGAATATATCATGTTTATCAAAAATTGGTTGCAGTGGGGGTTGCGCCAATTGACTGCATCGGTTGATAGACTTGTATTTGCATTTACTTACGTCTGATTGCACTTGTAGGTCAAATGCCCCGAGTGCCGTGCCGAACATCGTATACCCTACAATGGCGTCCAGGCATTTCCCACGAATGTTACGCTGCAGCGTTTTCTGGAACTCCACATCGAAATTACCGGCGAGTTGCCGGATCCCACTTCAGGTAAGTTGCCCCAAGAAAATCCACATTTAGCCTAAATTAAATTTCATTCATGAACACAGCATTTAATTGGAACTTTTGAAATTGGGTTTTCGTTACTTACTGCTTGACTGTACAATGTATCCGTCCGTCCGTCCATCTATCATAAATTAAAATTCTTGTGCATTGGCAATGGAAAATTTGCAATTTTCCCTTTGCATATTTGAATTTATTTACGCTGCGTTGATTTTCCCAAATCGCATATTACACATTGCACAATATATTTGTTATAATGTTGTTAAAGGTCTTTTGTATCTTATCAAGAAAAAATATATTAATACATTTTTGCTTTGTCTAATTTTAATTAAATTCTTAAAATATCACAAAAATGCAACTAAAAAAATTGAGCTAAGCACAAACCAATTTCAAAATAAATGCCATGGCCATAACATTTGGTTTCCAATTAAAAATCAGGCGCTTTGTGTGTTTTATCACACCACTGAGCTAGGCAGCGTTTGCAGCTAGCAATTAAAACTAAGAAAAGGCAAAATTGATTTTCGTAAGGTTTTTTCCAAATAATTTTTTTGTCACTGTAGTTGTGGATCAGGTTGTAACCATGACTATGCAAATAACTTGAAACTTGATAGAAGCAAATTGCAAACGACAATCACAACCGACAACCGACAACCGACATCAACACTCATCAGCAAATGCAAATAAGTGTCGAAAGAAAATGCTATGAGTACTTTGAGTGCTTTGAGTATTATTCACATTGCCTGCAATCAGCATCAGACAGTTAATAAGTAGACAAAGCTTTGAGTATTTTTTGACAATTTTCAACTATTTTTCACAATTGATATGCAAATGTGTATATATGTGTAGGAGTGTGTGTGTGTGTGTGTGTGTGTGTGTTTGTGTTTGTATGTGGAAGAAACAGAGAGTAAAAGTTGCTCCTGCCTGAGAGCTTCAAAAGATTTTTGGGCAAATCCTTTCAAGCCGCGCTGTTTTGGATAACTGGATGTCATGATACAAGGACTCGCAATCGCATGTTGTATTTGCAAATTCACTTTTCCATATGATTACACTGGAAAATACAGCCAACTATTGGCACAGGGCAAGCAGCATTGCATACTTTTCTCAGAGTAAGAGATTTGTTAGGGATGCCCAACTTCTCTGTATGCGAATGGGTGTTGGATAAGTTTATTGTCATGCTCATCGGAGTGAGAGAGACTGTCGGGATTGGAAGTCGAGGCGAGTTCATAAGGCAATGCCAATATTATATTATAGATGAGGGGGAGACACGGCATGAGTGTGACAACAATTGATGCAGAAAAGTTTACTTTCCTCGCCTGTGCAACTGTGTGACTAGCACTGGGACTGTGAAATGTTTGCATTGTTGCATGCTTGCCAAGTGATGGAGCGGTGGTGGGTTGCCCAAAGGGAGAGGGCAGCTCGTTATTTGCATTTTACCGAGCTAAGTCATGGCGTGCCGGATGTTCCTGGCAACGACGCATAAGCATCTAGAACACATAGAGCACAGTGCTTAGATGCAGTTGATTTCGAGCATTTGGCGACACTCTTCAAATCGCATTAGACCCCCACAGAAGCGCCAGCGGATGGATCCCTCTTCTCTCTCTTTCAACCCCATCCCACTCAATTCCTATTTGGTGTGTTATGTGCTTTCGAGTGCAATCGCAGTCAAAAGAAACGAAAGCAGGTCGTCTTGTTGCTTCCAACAGGGCAAATTAATGGATTGGCAGTCTGTCGTCGTTGCTGCCAGGATTGCTGCTTGCCAGCTGGTTGACATTTGATTGCCGAGTCTTGGAACTGTACGAGAGACAGTTAGTGGATGCTTAACTCTGACTCTATTATCTTCTTTTTGACAAAGCTCAACAAGTTGATATGTATTCCGATTTGATCATACGTGCAACTGTTCAACCCTGGCAGCTGCTCATTCTGACATTGCAGATAGCTCTGTAACCATCGTGAATCGTGTTGGAATTGGCATTTGATTCCGCATGAGTTATTCTTCCTGCTCCAACATGTTAAACTTCCATGTATTCTATTTGCAGAGCCACTTGCAAATATCTTTCATCTCAACAGCTCCACTTGTAGCAGTCAAAACAAAATTATATTTCTTTCACAAACACATCTACTTACTTTACCTTATTTACAATGATTGATCTTTTCTTCTGATTTAAGTTGGTGATCACACAATTGATATCAATTGAAACCTACATCAATGTTATGTAGAGATGTTATTTTACAGTCTTATTATTACGTCAGTAGTAGTCTGTCACCTTCACCTTCGTTATAATTGACCTGCTACATTCTTTACTTGACATTAATACTTACCTTTACTTTTTGTTTCACCACCACAATATTCCCCTGTTCAGGTCAAATCATGGAACGCTGCGGAGTTTGTTCCGAGAAGGCATACCTGTCCCACTGTGCGCACTGCGAGAAGAAGATCTGCGAGGACTGCAAGAGCGCCCACATGGACATCCTTCGGCGCGAGATTACCCGCTTCAACTCACAGGTAAGCAGCACTCACTGACCATTCCATTTTAGAGTTTCCGCCTAAGGCAAAGTATTTGCTTTCACAGATTCGACGCAGTTTGCATCGATTGCAGGACTCGCTGGCCATCATTGAGAAGAACACGACGAGCCTGCAAACGAACGCTATAAGCGTGACGGATGAGATTGATGAGATCTATCGACGCATTACGAAGGCTATCAAGGATAGATCGGATGGGCTGAAAGGCGAAATTGATCGCTATTTGGCCGTGGAGCTGCGCAACCTGACAACGCTCAAGGAAAATCTGGACTTGGAGATAGCGAACATCGGTAGCAACTGCGACATTGTGGACAAGTACATGAACGAGACCGTCGAATGGGATGACTGCGAACTCATGGACACCAAGGAGATCTTTATGAAGACCGTCGAGTTTCTGCGCCACTTTGAATACGAGAATAATGATTACAGTCGCCGTGTGCGCTTCCTCGTCTCCATTGATCCCAATCAGCTGGTCATGAATTTAGCCACCTTCGGTGATCTGAACATTGCCCCCCACTCGACACCCGGCAGTTCAGTGAGCAGCTCACATCTGGCGCCACCCAGCGCCCTGCAGCCCGGCCTGATGCGCTCCAAGAGCGATCATCGACTGGCCACACAATTCCGCCAGCAGGAGGAGCGCAGCGGCTACAACGATGAACCCGTCCTCGGTGGCCGAAAGTTCGGCGAACGTCCGCAACGCACTAACAACAACAGCGATCGCTATGGTGACAATCGATATGGACGCTCCGAGTACGATTACGACAACGACTATGAGAACGAGCCGGCGAGTCGTGCTGGAAAATCGTCACGTTTCCGTTCGCGATTCGTGCGCTCCCATCAGAACGAGGACTCGGACAGTGAGCAGCAGCAGCAGCAGCGCCAGCAGGAGATCGATAAGCGCAAAGATCGCGTCCTCGATAGCGAGGACGTCTCTCGGGGACAGCTAAGTGGCATCATACGACTGAGCGACTGTTCTCGCGTCGTCCAACGTCTGGCGGACATTGGCAAGGAGAAGAAGGAGAAGAAATCGGATGCTGCCGTTGCGGCTCAGGCGGCCGTCCAGGCAGCTATCCAGACTCAAAAGGCGGCCATGCAGCGACAGCAGCAGAAGAGCCAACAGACTGCAGCAGCAGCAGCTGACGAGGATGAGTTGGCGCGTCAGAAGCGTAAGAGTGGTGCAGCAAGCTCAACGGCAGCCCCCAGCGGTGAGTCGAGCAGCGAACAGCGTCCCGGAGCGGATCGTGTGGCGGCACTGAAACGTGGCGGCCAAGGAGCCAGTACAGAGGAGAGCGATGGCAGCAGCAGCAATCAAGCGACAACAGCATCATCTTCAGTGCGTACAGCAACAACGGCGACAGCACGAGCCGAGGTAAGTGTGAATGAAACAAATGAAGAAGAAGAAGTGGCAGCAGCAGCAGAAAATGATGAAGTAGGTGTGGCCAGTGACGACAGTGGCAGCAGCGACATTGAGAGCGAAACAGAACAAGAGCGTGAACAAGTTCAAGAGCAAGAGTTGCAACCACAAGCAGTAGCGGTGATAAATGAAGATCAAGTGGACAACGACGACGTCGATGACGCCTCTTCCTCTGAATATGAGTATGAAGAGGTGACAGCGAGTGAGAGCGAAGAGGAGGGGGAGCTGGAGCGTGAGCCACAAGCTACGCCAGTGTTAAATGTAGTGGCGCCTGAGAACGACGAGTTGGCAGATAAGGCGCCAGAGGATGATAATAAGAATGCGAGCAATGCAGAAATAATCAGTGATAGACATAAGGAACAAGAATCAGCTGTTGAAATCGAAGCTGAAGCTGAAGCTGAAGCTGAAGAGTTGTATACAGAAGAGGAGGAGGTAACTGAAGATGAAAGCGAGAGTGATGACGAGCCAAAGCAGCAAGCTGAAGAGAACGTGGAGCAGGAGGAGGGGGAGGATGAGGAGGATGAGGAGGATGAGGTCTATGAAATGGCTGAAAATGATGAGGATGATTAGGTATATAGAGATATCGGACAAACATTTTATCCAGAGTAATTAACAAAGGGGAATTGAATTTAGAGATGAGCTTCACATTCTGAGGAATGAGCAATTAATCGACAAATTTAATGTGGCACTAATTCCGCTCAGTCGTTCCGGCTGCCACTTTTCTCACTCTTTTATTTCAACTAAATGGATCTGCACAGTATTGCTTTATATTATGTATACGCCATTTTTGTCCAGTGTTTTTCTTTATTTGTTCAAAAAGTCTTCTTTATTTGTGTTCAGCGTTCACACTTTCCCCCGCTCCGTAAGTCTGTTACCTTTTTGTATATGAACATAAAAAGCAACAAATACAAAAAAAAAAGAAAGATACTTACTGTTAACCGTTAACTATTTACCTGTTACTTATTTACTTATTTACCCTTTTACCTATGACCTTTTCAAAAGCGCTAACAAATGCCCCAACGAATTGTTTTGTTTTTTATGTGTTAAGCTAAGTTTCATTTATTTTTACATTTCGTCTAGTGAGCGCCTTTCATTTTAATGCTGTTTTGGGTCCAACCTTTTCAACAATCAACACCTAATCGACTAATGTTCGCTAAAGCAAAAGCAACAAAAAGCAATTCGGCAATGTCGAGAAAATTATACACTTTCACAACAAAAAATTTGTTTGTGATAAAATTTCTTACACAAAGTAAAAAAATATATAAAAAAAGTTTCGGCCCAAGGCATGGACATCAGAAATTATGAATTGTACAAATTAATTTCATAGTAATTTAACATCTATTACCTTGTCGTTTAATGCTTAGTTAGAGACTGCAAATAAAACACAATTTTTTATGTGAATTGAAAAAAAATACAAAACCTCGAGTAATTTTTGATACGTTTATTTTGCGTTACCTTTTCTCTTTCTCTCTATATTTCTCTCTCTGTCTGTCTTACGGTTTGTCTCTTTTTGTTTTTGTTTTGCAAGTGGACAAACGATGTGGTAGTGATGTTAATTTGCTTAAACCTTACTAAATATCTCTATTCGATTTTGACCGGCAACAAAAATAGCTGAAAAAAACCGCCAAATCGCTCAATGAGCCAAAGCGAACAGACAAATGACATATACCTTACTATTATTTTTTATTTTCATTTTTTGTTTGGTTTTCATTGTCATAATTTTCTGATGTCTGCTGTATATATTGCTCCCATGTGTGTGTGTATGCGTGTGTGCGTGAGTGTGTATACATTTCTCCCTCTTTTCCACCATTGCAGTATACATTGCATTGTTACCCCTAAGCAAAACCCAGCTCGTGCCGAGTTCAATGGGAGCATTTCAATCATGACTGTCAGTGTTCCAACTTCCGTCAGTGTAACAACGTATCCATTTTCCGATCTGAATCTGTCTGTCTGTGTGTGTTAGTGTGTGTGTGTGTATGACATATATGTGCCCTCGCTGCATATTTGCCATGCTTTGTTATCAAGTATTTTTGGCATTTTTGAATGTGCATAAAAAAAGGTAGATCAATACATTGCGGAAATTTCGTCATACCGAAAGCAACAACGCTTACGAAATGTACTTCAAATTAAAATATTTACAGCATTTCATTGATCTGATATCGACAGAAATGCTCAAAGATATTTCGCAAATATTTCAAGTTGACCTCGCGAAGAATAAACTATGCCAACCGCTTGGGTGTGTGCTGTATGTCAAAACCATTGAGTGCCTGAGTTTGACATTTGCCTAGTCCAATAGTTTCGCCCACACAGCGTCAACTACTCGCATCCCCGCATCGTGGTTACTTGCACATGTCCATCCATCTATACATCCAGCCATTCATCTAGCCTTTCATATGCATATCAATATATTTCCCACAATTCGCATTTCGTTTCGTTTGCTCGCTTGCAACCCAAACAACACCAACAACAACAAAACCAAACAACTAACAGGCAGACAGCGCCACAGACTCTGATGCAACTCCCACTCCTACCCAACAGTCCAAACCGGCAGTGTCCGCCCAGGTGGCCGCTGTGAAGAAGACACAGCGCTCCGGCAGCAGCGATAGCAGTGCCTCCACCGAAAGCTCAGCCAGCTCAGCAGCCGCAGCAGCAGCAAGCTCTGCCCAAGCAACACCAAGCAGCAGTAGCAATGCACAGCCGAAGGCTGCGACCACAGCGCGTTACTCTACGGCGCGGGAATCCTCGACAGCAGTACCGACTGCAACGCCCGAGAAGAAACCGTTCGTGAGCCGCTTTCTGCCCCAGCACAGCAATCCGAGCAGTGCCAATGGCGCCGCTGAGAAGAAGAAGCCTGAGTCAGAGTCGAGCAGCGAGGAGGAGACCAGCTCTGAGTCTGAGTCCGAATCGGAGCCGGAGACGAAGCCCAAAACAATTGCGACAAGCAGCAGCATCGCTGCCAAATCGATGCCCAGCAGCGCAGCCAGCTCCACAACGGCGGCCACCACGAGCGGCAGCAGCTCCTATCGGGATCGATTGGAGGCGCGTCGCGCTTCTAGGGATGATACCGCTGCCACAACACGCAGCACCTATGCCACGCCCAACTCTAGCAGCAGCGGCTACAGCAGCTCCACACGCACCCGAGCAGTACCCGCTCCGCATCATCTGTCCGAGACTGAGGATCGCTATGGCAGCGGCACCGGCAGCAGCAGGTATTTCCATCCGAATTTCCAAAGCAGATGCTAATCAAATTGAATATCTACTTTTGAGTCTAATTTTTGCATGACATTTTTCATGACGATTGCATTTAATAACTAATTTTAGTAGCATAAGAGACACTTATAAATATACCTTATACACACACGCACACGTACACACACACCCATACATTTACATAATTAAAATTGAAATGTGAGCATGAAACATATGTTTGTCCTTGTAATGGGCATTTTTAATTGTTAACACTTTCCGTCTATATATAAATATATAAATATGATGGGTTGCATTTATTTAATTATTGTCTATCCGTCTGTATATCTGTATGAAATTGGATGTGGATTAATTAGTATTTATATTGTTTCTGAATAAACCAAACTCATAACATAGTATAGCATTCTTCCAAGCGACCGGGCAAAAAATAAATAACTTAATAAAATCGTATTATTGTTATTGATAAATTATATTTAGAGAAATTGAATAGTGTATACACATCAAGAGAAGACTGAAACACTTTATACGTGGATTATATTCCTTATTTATATTATGTTTGACATTTTAACAGCCTATTATAATATACTACAGTCTACAAGGGTATTTGATCTTCGGTCAATCCGAAGAAAGTAATTAATTTTGTACTGTTTGTTCTTTGTTGATTTGATGGCAATAATCAAATTGCTGCTTGCATACTCGTACAATAGCGTGCGATTAATTTAAATTTATAATTAGTCGCAGCAGAATTCCATAACACTCACACACACACATACACTTTCACAAAACCTAGCTGCGAGTGTCAGAAATGCGATGCCAAAACAATTGCTATTTAATTAATATGCACAATGAAATTAACTGATTTGATTCGATCAGCGACATTGCAGTTGCATTGTTGTTATTGTTAATGTTGATGTTGTTTTGTATATGAATATGTATATGTATGCGTGTGTGCTCAATTAAATGTACATACATACATGTATGTGTGTGTATAATTTCTCTCTGCTGCAGCTTTGTACAATTGCGAGATATTGGCATTAACATCGCAGTGGCCTTTTTAATGCTCATACGCCTCGTGTGGCGGCTAATTGTCAAGTTCATAACATTTACATAAATGTCGCCAGCAGCGCTCCAGGCTCAGCCAGCTCTAGGTAAAAAACCCAGCCTTCGAAAGTCCCCACTCCTCCCTAGTCACAGCCTCCATCTCTCTATTAGTATATGTGTGTATTTCTCACAATTTGCTGTATTTGTGTTTCTGTGTTCGTCTTTGCAGCGCACTGCCCCTTAGCATACCGTACATAAGTAGACCCTACAGGGATCGCTACCGAAAGCGACTTGCGGATGTGTCGCGTCAAATTAAATAATACTCTACATGCAGTGATGGCTATAAAAAATAAAAACATCCCTTAAAACTCCTCTAGTCATATATCGTTGTGTTTGTTGTACAAGCATTAAATGTGTGGATCAGCGTTCATAAATTGCCTTTTAATTGAAGTCTACAATCAACCATTATTAAATCATCTTTTAGTTAGCCATTCATTGAAAGCATTTTGTTAATTGTCAGTTAACTCATTAAAAAATACGCCTCACACAAATTGATCCAAGTCGGCTTTTTACTTAGTTTTTGCTTTTGTCTTGACATCAAAAGTCAAACAATGACAAATTCTAAGAGCCTTAAAGGCTCGTAGTTTAACCCAAAGCGTGTATTTATTTATAACTGAGAATAAGTAAAAGGAATATATAATTAAGTACATAACTGAATTTTAGAGCGCTTAATTTATCAACAATTTGTATTGCTTTAAAGTTTTTCCTTGATTGATATTTTTTGATATCTATCGCAAGTCTTTTTTAACTATAAATTTCAACTCGCACATTTTTCTATTTCCATTGGAAGGCAGCTTAAAGAATACTTTAATATACCTGAAGTCATATAGATATTTTTTAGAGACTTGTCAGCATTCAAGCAGCAGGAGCTCTACTCAGCTTACAAATTTATATTTTCATGTCAGGCAATGTCATCGAAATGTCAGACTGTCGCATATAGTAGAGCTGACGTCAATGGGTTAAGTGGGTAGAGAGCCAGAGAGAACTAGAGCTTGAGATAAGTTGACGCACATGCCGCTGCTGCTGAGGATGCCGCTGTGAATGCCGCTGCTGGTTGCGAAGAAGCTACTCAGTAGCTGGAAAGCAGTTTCTATTCGATTCACAGCACTTTCAATGACCTCTCGTATTTGGGGCCCCCACACAACAAAAAAAAAGGGTTCAATGCGCCCCGCACAGCTCGAGTTGGTGTCGATGTCATTTTGTGTGTGGGTGCTGTGATTCTTTAATTTATTTTATTGACAACAATATTGAATATTGGTTAGATTTTTGATGTAATTTAATTAAAACTTGAGGACACCAAGTGGCAGCAGTCAGCCAGACAAAGTTCAGTTCTTTTTTCCGAAGGATTTTAATATGTTTTTCGATGATACACAACAAAATATGTATTTATGAACTACTTAAGTTTTTACTTTTTAGTTTGTTTTTGTGAGATTGTAAACAAGTGCAAAGCAATTAACGAATTCAAACAGGACGCTTGAAACGCTGATGTATTCATTTTATTTCAATTCTTTCGATTGCCTCATTGTTTGCATGCACTGCAATGGTATATGGAATGTAAACTATGCCTCTACTAAAAATAAATAAATAAAAAAAATAATTGCTTTGCCAATTCTTGTGCTACCCGGCACAGGATGAGTGAGAGTGACGGTGAGAAAGCAGCTGCTGTTGCATAGGCGCAAAGAACCGCAGACTACAGCTTTTGCTGCCGTCCGCCCCTTATACTAAGCACAATACGGGACTGATGATTTTCTTTTAGTGTTTTTGTTGAGTAGCATGGTATTTAATAGTACCAGAAGTGTGTGTGCTTTGTTGTTGTTCTCCATGTTGTTTGCTGTAGTTGCTGTTTATTTCTGTTGCTTTGCCTTCGAATAGCCTTATTCCTATCTCCATCCCCATCACATTTCCTTTGCATACCCCTATCCTTATGCTTGTTCTATCCAAAGCTGTGGCAATTGGAGCCATAATTTCTTGTACTCAACTTTGTCTACTTTTTGTTTAACTTTGCGCTAATGTGAAATGCGAATTTAATTAGAAACTTTTGTGAGCGCATTGTTGGTTTCTTTTTTCTTTGCGACGTTTTGTATTTTAATTGAATTTGGTTGCCTAATAAATGAGCCAAGGCAACCCATTGAGTGGGTGCCCGTTGACACTGACGAACCTAGAAGCGAACACCAACTTGAACGAGAATTCGTTACACAGATTTAAGCTAGTTAAAAGTTAGTTCATTAGGCGGCCGCGAATTTGCCAAAGGTGTGCCGGGGGTAATAAACTTTTTAAAGCCAGGTGCGAGACATACTGAACACAACAGCACAACATGAAAGGCAACAACAAAAACAACTACAACTAAAAACATCACACAAAATTTTAAACAACAACAACAGAAAAAACGCAAATATATAGCTAAAAAGCTTATAAAAAAAAACAAAAAAAAAAACATTTTTCTAGCTACACAAGCCGCTTTCTAAACAAAAGCAAGAGCAGCGCAATTGTAACGCAACCCTCGCTATCCACGCCCACTGCATCCTTCGATGAGGACGCCAACGGAACCGGCGACGACTCGGACAGCCGCTACGGCACCGGCCGTTCCCGCTATCTGGCGATGAAGGAGCGGCGCACCCGACTGGCTCGCAGCCGCTCCTCGCATCAGTTTAACAACGAGGATGACGATCTGGATGAGCCCGTGTCACCGACAACAGTCTCGCCATCCGCTTACTTGGCCTCAAGGTGCGCAGTGTAACCAACAAACCAACCAACAAAGCTATATGAAATCCAATTACCAACAATATCAGAAACGAATCCCGACACTCAGAAACTCAGTTGTATATAGGACGCTATCGGTTGTACATATGGCATACACATATATTAATATGAAATTTGTATATGTATATAATACAATGATCACAGATCTGTCTGGGCGCTTTCATTGTGCCTGCGCTACCCACTTGCCCTTAGTGAAGAGTTTTTTTAATTTATTTTATTTTTTTCTGAGTTTTCTTGTGTAATTTATTTTATTTAAGTTTTTTTTTATATGAGTTTCTGTGCGTGCTAGTCCCACTTTCTTTCCACGTTTCGTTCTCGTTTATGTTGCACTCTACACACACACACACAAAACACACACACACTAATTCCAGTTTTCAATTACATTTTTTGATTTTGTTTTGAGTTCATATTATTTTGGTTTTTTTAATATTTTTTTTTTTGATTTGTTGTCAACAATAAAAAAAAGCAATATATTCTGCGCGTTCAATTAACAGAAATTAACAGGAAACAGCCATTTTGTATAGTTCTTTTTACTGTCTGTTTAAATACAATAGAAAGTTACACACTTTGTACAAATTTCATGCATACTCATAAAGCAGTTTCCATTTCAGTTCCGTAGCGCGAATCATTCATCAAAAAAGATCAAATTTGCAAACATCCATTTAAAACAGACCAAAAAGCCACACAACGTCCAACCTAGCAAGCGAGGTTTGCTCGTTGTGATTCCTAATTGTGAGAATTGTTATTGGTAAAAAGTTTGAAATGTAGTTTAAAAAGACTTGATAATATTTTTGTTTCTGAACTTCCACAAAATCAAATTTCACAACTGATTTCAAACAGTTGCACCCAACTATGTTCTCTGCATATGCGAAACACAGCGTTCAGCTCTCGTGTTGGGCAACTTTTAGCTAATCCTCTTACAATATGTTACAGGTACAGTGGCTATGGCAGCAGCGACCTGTCGAGGAGTCGATCCTCACATGCGCTGAAGTCGCGCGACAATTCGCCAATTGCGGATCGCAGTGCAGGATCGTCGCGGAGCGCTGTGGGCAGCTCGACGGATACCAAGGATGGGGAGGCGCTCAGCTCGTGGGCGCGTTATTTGAAGAACAAGTATGGGAACAAGAGCTCTAAGGATGCGCTCAGCAGCAGCAGCGTTGGCAGCGCACGCGACAGCCACGTCTCCAGTTCGACGGGGGCGTCGTCGCATGCGCACGGCGCTACTGGCAGCCGGAGCACGGCCAGCGATGTATCCAGACGCTTGAGTCTGGGTCTGCCGCTGCGCCAGGCGAATGAGCTGCCCTCGTCCGATGATGACGGGTCAAAAAACGGGCTAGGCTCCCCTACGTCCCCTACGGTAGCAGCAGCAGCCGGTATAACCGGAGTGGCAGGTACTATCCCTAAACAGGTGTACCTACGCAAGCGCCAGCAGCTGTTCCAGTTGGGGGGCCGGGGGAGCGAGCCCGGATCCTTTACGTGGCCGCGCGGCTTAGCCGTCGGCCCGGACAATAGCATCGTCGTCGCCGACTCAAGCAATCATCGCGTCCAGGTCTTCGACTCCAATGGCATATTCGTCAAGGAATTCGGCGAATATGGCAACGGCGAGGGCGAATTCGATTGCCTCGCCGGCGTGGCGGTAAATCGCATTGGCCAATACATCATAGCCGATAGGTGAGTTTCAGTACCAGTTCCAGTTCCAGGTTCAATTTCAGTTAACTTAAATCAGGTTTATAGCTCACCAGCTTTCTCGGCTGCATTTTAATTAAGTCAAAACAATGGTCCATGATTAATTCTTCGGCTTAGCTTCACGGGTGCAGGACCTGCTCTTGAGCCGAGTAATTGGCACGGCTAAGCGCATAATAGCCGCGTTAATGAGAAACATGTGCGTTGCGACCACCTCTCAGTTTAAGCCTCGTGTTCACCAACCTTTTTTTTTATTTCTTTCCGCTGGTATTTGGTATATAGACGTGTGTGTATGTATCCTCATGATTCATCCGAGCTGTCATTGTCTGCAGCTGAAATCTCGTTAAGCACCATCGTTGTACTCGGCCAGCCTCATTGTGTGTTTCAACTTTGATTTTGCACGTTAAGCGGCTTAGTCTAAGCCCAACGCCCAGCAGCCTCAATAGTCCCAGCAACGCCCTTAATGTCAAACGCGTCATCCGACCACGCCCATTGCCTACGCCTACTGTTCAAGTTGATGCGTGGTAATGACTTGGCTTCGGACATTTTGTAATTAATGACAGTGCATAGAAGAGTTTCACATTTTGATGAACTGCTGCAAGCACAGACAAAATTCTGGTTTTTCTTTTGTATTAATACATACGAAACGGAGCCCATAATTTAAATTACCCCGTTTTTCTCCAAAACGCGTATGCAAAATCAAAATTTATATTATATCATAATATTTAGCCAATAACCTAGAATTAAAAAAATTGAAATGCAGCCGAGTCTTCAAGTAAAAGTATTACGAACAAAATAGTTGTTAAAAATAAATAAATATAATATCATTTATTATTTTAAGAGAATTTGCGTCACTGTCACATTGTCGGTGTGCGTTAACGAGACATGCTTTTCAAATTGTCTACTATGTTGCAGATATAATCATCGCATACAAGTGCTCGATCCACAAGGACGCTTCCTACGTGCCTTCGGTTCGCAGGGCATCGCGGATGGCAAATTCAATTATCCTTGGGGCGTAACAACCGATGCACTCGGCTTCATTTACGTTTGCGATAAGGAGAACCACAGAGTGCAGGTAACGTCTGCTTTCCCATTTGCATAATATTTATAATCATCAGCAGCAGCAGGAGCAGCAGCGGCCACAATAAAGCCGGTCAGGGTCACATAACCAAGCACAGGCGCAGATCCACAGAACTAGAGTCGGAGCCCAGTGCTCAGCATCTTGCTCAATTTGTCACACTTGAGCTATGGCAGGCAGAAGGCAGCACCTGTCTTTGCCTCTGCCTCTAGCTCCAGCTTCTTTACAGGCATAACAATTTGAATGCGCTTAACTGCAATGTATTTGTATACATGGCTCTAGGACTCCGGACCTGGATTTGGTCTGGGTTGGACTTACAAAGCTGCCAGCCTGTGGCAAATGGCACTTTTTTTTTCATTTTCTCTTTCTCTGTTTGTCCACTTTAATTAAAAAACTTATGAATTCGCTCCGATTCGTTTCGTTCCTGGTTTCATTTTGGTCAGGTTTTCCAATCCGATGGTTCCTTCGTTGGTAAATTCGGTTCCTGCGGCCGTGGCGAGGGTCAACTTGAGCATCCGCATTATATAGCTGTATCGAATACGAATCGTGTTATTGTTTCCGATTCGAATAACCACAGAATTCAGGTAAGCTGAAGTTTTCGGGTCACGGCTGTCTGGCCTCCTGTATCTTTTTAATTAAAATATGCTGCAGATTTCACACATTGTGTGTGTAAGATATTTGTATTTTTATTTTTATTTTTTCTGCTGTCACAGATATTTGATGTAAATGGCAAGGTGCTGTCCACAGTGGGCGGCGAGGGCTCCGACGATGGCCAATTTAAGTTTCCACGGTAAATAATTGCGTTACAATTTGGTAATTGAGTTCGAACTCAGTAAGCGAACAATTTTGTTCTTGTTCTTCTGCAGGGGCGTTGCAGTGGATGATCAGGGCTATATATTTGTGGCCGATTCTGGCAATAACCGCATACAGATCTTCAATCCGGATGGCAGTTTTCTGAAGACCTTCGGCTCTTGGGGCTCCGGTGACTCGGAGTTCAAAGGACTCGAGGGTGTGGCCATCATGTCCAATGGCAACATTTTGGTTTGCGATCGTGAGAATCATCGTGTGCAGGTGTTCTAAGCTACGCCCACCACTTCTAGTACTACTACTACGCCCACGTTCGCTAGGCCGCCAAAGCGAAACCCAGTGCATTACTTGGATTACTATTTTGATGATTCAAACTTTTCATTTTAAAACATTTTGATTTTTAGTTTTCGTTTAAGAAATTAATTTTACATTGAGTGCCGAATTTAATGTCCAGATTTCTAGGCCTAGAAATTTGCCAATCACTTAAGTAGCTAACTCAAACAGCAAAAAAATTATATAAAAAAATCGAAAAACTTGTTATTAAAAAAAAAGAAGAAATATACTAAATAAAAAAAAATTAAGCGAAAACTCGTGAGAGTTGGAGTGAAAAAGATTCTGGCTCAATCATTTAGACCACGCATTGAATTCACTACACTCTCCGCTGTGCCCTAATTGAGATTTATCTGCGTTGCTGGCCAACAAATTTGCGCACTGGGCAAATTTTTTTGCTGCCAGCACTTTATTAAATTAAGATGTTTTCTGTTTGCAAAATGAAAGTTTTTGGTCCCTTCCACATAAACTGTATGGTTTAGCAAATTAGTGCATGTGTGTTTGTGTGTGTCTGTACAACTACAACATCATCCAACAAGCAACAAGCACTGAAAGCAGCTGCAGATTTATGTGTAATCGCATAAATTTGTTTGCCAGCAAATGTTGCGCATTTGCCATGTAGCACTACTCCGAACCACAACAAATAGCTAAAATGCTTCAAGCATGAGTTTTGCAACAACCCGAAAACTTGATACACTATTACAGCTTTCAGAAAAGTGCTTGACTTAAAAAATATATCGTTTTATTCAATAAAGATTAAAAAATACGCTTATTACATTTTAAAGTGATTATGGAATAAATTGAAAATGGCTAAGCTAATCGAAAAAATAAAATAAAATGTAGATAATTTATTCCAAATTGTAACTAATAAGTTGGTTGTAATGGGGAGACTAAGGAGAGAGTCAGAATTTTAGCGGGAATTACTCGTACAATCCCTGCATTACAAACTTTAGTTCCAAGTTATAATACCCTATATTAAAAACGACAACTACTCCCACTCACACACTCACATACACACACACACACGCTTACAAAGAACACAAAATGTTGCCAGTGTAAGTGAGTTTTATGTGATTAAAATGCATGTGAGGGTGTGAATGAATGGGTGTGGGTGTTTTGAGTGTTGACTGTTGAGTGCTGCCGCTTGCCATAGAACTTTATGACTTGCCCCATCACATCTCTCTCTCTCTCTCTCTCCCAGCTCCCCCTCGCCCTCTATATCCATTTCCCTTCTCACATGCTGCTAAACGCATTGACGCCTGATTACATAATAAAATTCGTTGATTTGCAACAGTCGCAATTAACCTTTGATTGGCGAAAGTTAAAGCCTACAAATTACAGGCCAAATGATTGCCATTCACCCTCCCCCCCCCCTCTCCTCCTATTCCCTTTGCTGCGCCCACCAAGCGTATGCAATTGCTTATCTAATTGAATCAAATGCGAGCATTTTGCATGTCACGCGGAAGTAACGCCTTTCAATTAGCACATCTCGAGTGTGCAAAACTCCATGGATCCAAGCACATCAAATGCAACATTTTAATTCAAGTTTTCACATTATAACGAGAGCACAGATCGGCAACGAGGCAGTAAAGTTGTGTAAAATTAATGCCAACAATTTGCCAAAAGTGTCATCGAGTTTTCTGTTTTTTCTTTTCGATTTATTTTTTTTGGTTTTATTTTTTTATGGGCTACGCATGTGAGTTGAGGGCGTGGTAGTTGCCAAATGAAAGCAGCTATAAGTTGGGTTACTGCACATAAATTACAGCTTTTTAGCAGCAACCCCAGTGGCAGCACCAGCAACAACTACGCTCGATTCGATTTTTTTATGACTTGTAATTTTTATTTGCCATATTTGCATGTATCACGTGCGACGTTGCGAATTTCATTTAAATTAACTACTGGAAAGGCAAGGGCGTGGTCTGCAGTGCGAGAAAGGGAATGGCGTGTCGCTGAGTTGCGTTTAATTGGAACACGTTCTGCATCAACAATAACAACAAACGCTGTTTCAGTTGCTTGTTTTATGACCTCGCAATTTGCTTCACCAAATTGCAAAGTGATAAAAAATTATAAAACATTGTGCGCTCAAATGTATGCAACAAAAACTTAAACGGCCAGAGACGTCACATTCAACTCCCCGTGGAGTTGGGAGGTGTGTGTTGCGAAGGGATGGGTAGGCGGGGAGGGGGGGGGGGGGATTGCAGAAAGTGCGCATCATCTAAACACTGGCAAGTTTAATCTGTTTACAGCCACCGTCAAAGAGCCGTAACTTTTGATTTTCATCTCTTTTGCGTTTTGGATTTTCATTTGTTTGCACAAAGTACTCTACACTTACAAAGGTCACACACACACACACACACACACACACTTGTACACACATAAACATTTAGTTCAGAGCACAAAGATTCACAATTTCACAGCTGCAACGTTTGCTTTGCTGTTGGCACACGAAATCGATCCATGCCTTAACGGAGTCCATACACAAACTACTGTACCCCAACGCGGACTACCAATCAATGCTCTCTCCGCAAAACGGTTCCCCGCTTTGGGTCCCTGGTGCAATTTCGATTTTTGTGTATTTTTGAGCTGGCAAAAGTTTATATTGCAAGCCACCCATCTCCAGCTGCCACAAAGTGAATATCCAATGCGCTCTTTAAAGTTGCATAAAAGTGAATTTTTTCAAGAGCGAGCAGCCATTTTTGACTTTTACTTCAACTTTTCAGCTTCGGCTTTGCGGAACAGGTAAGCATGATTTTGAGTGCCCCAATCAGCGAACAACAACTGCCTCCAAATTAGTTACGTTTTTTTGTCTGCCACGGTCCACAATTTTTTGTTTCCCTTTAACTGTTGCACAGATTTCGCTTTGAGTTTCCATTTCGTTTTCGGTCTGGTTTTAATTCTTGTAAGCGTTTTGCCAGCTGCCCTACAATGAGAACCCTTTTCGCTTATTACTTACAGCCAGCTTAATACTTTTTTCTTCATTTTTCAGTTCAGTGCACAATAAAAAGTTGCCAGCCTTAAAAACACGTCTGATTGTTAGCCAGTGCTAGAAGCAACAGCTGGCCACCTTTTCGGCACTTATTTATTTATTTCTTTTTGTTTTTTTTTTTTCAGGCAGTTAGGTGTAAAAAAAATCTTAATGTCTTGGACAGCCGCACACTCCACATAAACAAGCTTGGGGTCAGCTGCACATATGTATACAGACACACTCCAATGGGACAAAGCAAGAAATAAGGAAAAGGTAAAGCTACTCATTTTCAATCAAAAATTACGCGCCAATGCAAAAAGAAGAAGTTAATTCGAAATCGATAAAAATGAACTGGATTTGTTCACTATTTTACACTCTTTTCGATGAAAGACAATTTTCTAGTTTAAAAGAGGTGTCTCTTAAGAAAGATTTTGATAAACTCAAATTTAGAAAGTAACTTTAATACAAATTAATAATTAGAACCAATTTATAAATTAGAGTTCGTTTTAAAAATGAATACAATAAATTGGAATATAGTATCTTAAGGTGGGACCTTTAGAATCTATAAAAAATGAGTTATTCCACAAAATAGTGGAATCCATCAGTATTAAATAATTACAATAAATTAGAAAAAAGTATCAAAGCTTTTGACTAAAAATATGATTATATTTCAAGTTGACAATATTCTCGCAAGGGTATTTTATAACGCCAAGCTTCCTTGCGTTTAAACTCTGTTTTCTCTTTTATTATTTTTATTTATTTTACTACTGTTAGCTTACACTATTGTTACTGCTGCTGCCCAGTCAGTCTGTTAGTTGGAATGTTGAAATGTCACCCAATACTCGCTGGCGAATGCCCATTGAGTCAGTTTAGGCAGCCACAAGTGTAGGCAGTCTTAACCTTTTGAGTTGGTGTGTGAATGTGTGTGTGTGTGAGTGTGTGCGTGTGTGTATGTATGGGTGGTTCATCTGTGGAGTTTCATTCGGTATTCGTTTCCGTTCCGTTGCGCAATCGACCGGTGCACTTGGCGGTACGTTTAATACCACTTGAGTGATTTTTTATGGCCACATATATATATATATATATACATATATATATACATATATATATATGTATGTGTGCACTGGTATGTACATGTATTTGGGTATGGGCGTGTTACTACTGTTGCTGTTTTTGTGTTCATTTGGACTTCGCCTTGCCATTTGTTTGCTGTTGTTTGTGTGTTTTGTTTTAGTTTCTGCAACGAGTCAGACATTTTTATATGCAGACCGCGCATCACCAACACCAACAACAATAAACACAGCACGAATAACAGTAACTTTTCAGTTTTATTATTTCCATTTGCCCGCTTTTGTTTTCATTGCTGGCAGCGTCGTGAAAACATTTGCGACAGCATCTGCAAACATTTAAATAAATATTTTAATAAATAAAATGGTCAGCTCAAGTCAAAGCCACAGCTGTGCCATTCCCCAGCCATCCGTTAGGGGTCTGTCATCCAATAATCCAACCGGCTAACCAGCTAACCGACCAACTCACTGACTGATAGAATGAGTGACCTTTTCAATGCCTTTAAGTGTTAGTTATGTGCACTCTCTCGAACACTCCAGATTGGATTGGTTGGGGCAGAAAATGCAAGTTGATTTTTGGCATCACTTTAATATCCATTCAATTTTAAGCTTCTTTTGCATAACAGCCAGTTGCTGGGTCGAATGGGGGAAAGGGAATTGGTGTGCTTCCAATCAACGCTTTTTCAGTTCAAAAACTTGCATTCTCAATCTCGAGCAGCTGGCACAACAGACAAACAGCTTGTACAAGAATATTTTCTAAGTTACCGAACGAACAACGGACCAGCGGACGACTGGACGAAAGGAGAGAAACGATAGAGGTGAGTAACGGTAAGCGAGCAATTCCCAAGTTAACGGTAACTCTGTGAAACCTGTGTAAATACTATTGCGATAGATAAGAAGCCATCAGTTGCCTTCTTCCTATAGGTGTGTTTGTGCTTGTGTGTGTGTGTGTGTGTGTGTGTGCGTGTATTGATGCATTTCGCCCACATAACGTGCTGCAACAAGGGTCTTGGGCAGAAGTCTTTTTCTGCGGGAGGCAAGGAGACAAGAAGCAAAGGGGCAGGCGCATTGTGAAGTGCCTTTTAGTTTGCGCAAATCAAAGTAGGGGAAAATTAAACTTCTAACTAAAAGCTGCTTACAGTTTCGAGCATTAAATGGATTTTGGCAAATTGCTTGCACGAGTGTGTGCTTATCGAACTAGCGATGTACGTGCGACGTGCTCGTGAGGCACGTAATTGGCAATGCAGATATGAGATAGCTAATAT